AAACCCAAAATATTTCTAATTAAATATGTTAGCTTAAAAGTAGGAAATTATTTTTTATCAATTTATTTACCATGTTGTACACTAACATAAAAGGCAGGTGTAGGAGTAAGGTGGCAAGAGCTATTAAAAAAGAAACCTTCCTGCCCACTTAAACAAACAGAAATGCTGCGGGCGAGAAACCCTAAGCATTTGAAAATGTCAATCGTCTTGTGCTCTTTTGACTGGGTCCCAATGTGATCAAACAGGATGGACAAAATGAGTTCTGAAGAGAGATCTGAGAAAAAGTCAGATGGTAATCTATCTTGTGAATTAAGGAAAACAAGTCCTCATAAAGAGGAGGGCCAGGGGGAGGGTGGGGGGGAGACAGAACACAAGCCTAGTTCCCCAAGAAAGAAGAGATCATATAAATGAGCAGGTGGAGTTAAGAAAAAAACTTTATATGCTGGGGGTTCTTCCAGTTCTTAATTCTTGGTCAATTAAGCAACTATAAAAACATCTCAGCTTTACTCATGCTTCTGTGTGCTTCCCCCATTCCTAAATTTAATAGTTAGACGTGGGCAGGAGGTAAGATTTAAGCTGTATCAGTCTTACCTATCACCACATAGCTGTCAACTCGTGAAAGTGAAAATGTGGAGAGAAAATACTTTAAGAAGTAGACTGGCAAAGAAATAGCTCATCAGCAAGCCCTGTCAGCTCAACCTACAAAATAGATTCCTAATCTTTACACTAGTTCTCTTGTCTCCCCTCTGCATTACTGCCTCCAATCAGGGTTTCTCTGCTGTTACACTCCCCCCACTACCAATCTCTGAAAAATGTATAACAGATCAAGTCGTTCTCCTGCCCAAAGCTCTCCAAACACTTCTCACCACACTTACAAGCTCCAACTGCCTACAAGGACCCTAAACTCCCTATCACCCCTACCCAAGGCCTATAAGACCTATATAATATGACCCTTATCTACCTCCCCAACTTTATCTCCCTTCGGGAACTCGGAAGGTCACTGTGTTCTCTAACCCCACAGGCCCTCATTCTGGTCCCCAGTTATACCAAGATCCTTCCCACCGGGCCAAAGTCAAGGTATCTAATACTCTTTTTCTTATCCTCACCTGAGGATATTTTTCCATTGATTGTTTTTTTTTTTTAGAAAGAGTAAAGGGGAGGGAGGAGAGAGAAAGGGAGAAACATCGATGTGAGAGAGACACATCCATTAGTTGCCTCCACAGGCACCCCCCAGGGAGAGGGGTGGGGAGGTGGAGCCTGCAACCGAGGTACGTGCCCTTGACCCTTCGGTCTGCAAGACAACCTTAGGGCTGTTTTCCTGGACTTGAAGAGCTCTGACCAGATTTTTCCATGACTGACTCCTTAATATTCAGGAGCAGCTCAAATGTCACCCCTGAAAACCCAAGTAACACTACACATATGCACACACCACACCATCCTATCATCCTGTTTTGTTTTCATAAATTTATCTCTGTCTGAAATTATGTTGTTCATTTATTTGTACTGTGTAACAACTTCCACCCCCCAAATACACACACACACAGACACAATGTTCTACATACGATCATCAGTGTCTACACATATATCTTATTATTCCATTTTATAGATGAGCTGCAGTTAAATAAGTGCAGACAACTATTAAGAAGTGGCAGGAAAAAAAAAAGAAAATGCCCAGCCGGGCGTGGCTCAGCGGTTGAGAGTCCACCTAGGATCCAGGTGATCGAGGTTCAATTCCCGGTCAGGGCACATGCCCAGGTTGTGGGCTCGATCCCCAGTCAGGGGTGTGCAGGAGGCAGCCAATCGGCAGCCAATCGGTGAGTCTCTCATCATTGATGTTTCTCTCTCTCTCTCTCTCTCTCTCTCTCTCTCTCNCTCTCTCTCTCTCTCTCTCTCTCTCTCTCCCCTTTCCTCTCTCTGAAATCAATAAAGATATATTTTTACAAAAAATAGAAGTGGCAGATTCAGAAATCAAACACATCTGTATACTACTAAAGTCCGTGTTCTATGGAATCTATACCACCCACTAATTATATCTTTTTTATTAAATTTATTGGGGTGATATTGGTTAATATGATCATAGAGGTTTCAGGTATGGGTTTCTGTTAAAAGATCTGTATATTGCACTGTGTGCCCACCACCCAAAGTCAAATCTTCTCCTGCAACCTTATATTAGGAACCCCTTCACCCACTAATTATACCTTAATAGAAGTAAAACCAATAAACAAAAATCCAGATTTGTAAATGAAGGAAGGGGATTTTTCTCTTAAATATTCCTCACTTTAGAAAAAGAATGTCTGGGATTTTATTACAGGGTGAACTTTGACAGTACATTTAAATACCTTAAAAATGGCACGGCAACCTCTGAAAATGAATTAATCTTAAAAGTCCTTTTCTAAAACAAAGTCACCATGTCAATCAAAATCACCAAATATTAAGAACTGATTCACTATTTCCAGATCTAATACTGGTTCTCAAACTGGGCTGATAATGAAGAATCATTTAGGGAACAGCTTAAAAATAAAAATTCTAGGCTTCACTCCAGTTCTGAGTCAGAATTCCTGGGATGTGACCCCCAAATCTTTACTTTTATAAAGCTCCTCATGAACTTCTGATGAATAACCAGGGTTTGGATCGACTGTCGCCCTAACCCCAGCACTCTACAAGTGAATAAACTGAGGAGCTAAGAGGGTAGGGTTTGTCTAAAGACATAAAGTAGCACAGTACACTAGAAAAACAATATCCTCCACATTTGGTGCTTTTAACACCAATTCATGCTACTGTTTTTGGTAAAACTGTATGCTCTGCTGTTTGGGCCCCGCTGATTACTTACTATCCTCATGCAACTTAGTCCCTCATCTGCAAACTGAGAACAACAGAGCTCACCTCTTAAGAGCTGCTGTGAGGATGAAAGAGTGTAATACCCATAATGTAATGCACTTAACACAGTGCCTAGTATATAAATACTGAGTGTTCATGATATAGGTTACATAGTTCCCTAAAAAAAGCATGCCTTTACTGAACCACTCCAATTACAAAATGAACTGGAAGCCCATGTTGAACTTTGGAAGTCCAAAGGGACTTTAAACTCAGGGTAAGAGCGTGCCTGATTCTCATACACCATTGTTTCTTACAGGACTCCTCAGAATCACCTAGTGAATGAATCTCTGTATGGACACCGGTAATCTGTATTTTTAAATAGCTTCCTCCCCCTCCCCCGCCAGGTGCTTCTTAGGCAAACCAAGGTTTGATAAACAGGAGTGTACAGAATCCGTGACCACAGCAAATGACCTCTCGAGTCCAAGCAAAAAACTGTGCTCTGTAGCCAGAGGAGCGGCGTCATCAGACCCTGATGCAAACAGCAGCTGGGGACAACCGTGCAGAGGAGTCGCTGTGACCACCAGGGACTGCCTCGACCCTCTCCTCTCCCCAGAAACATAAAAAATCACGAACGTGCCCTCCCATAACTCCCGTGGCACAGTGCTGCAAAGGGCGCCACGAGGTGCTAAAGCAAACCCAAAGCCTTCCTTCCCAGGAGCGGGGCCAGAGGAAAGCGACCCTGGACGGCCGACCACGCCCCAGCGGCGTCAAAAGGTCAATGACCCTCTCGGCGAGAAGCCTCCAAGCTACAAGCCACCTGCCGGAAGTGCGTCACCCCAGCCTGCAGGGGCTGCCGGGAGTTGTAGTTAACTGGTTCTTTCTCGTGCGCCCAATTCGCCTTTTTTCAAATACTCAAACATCTTGGAACCGTAAGGAAGGTCGCTTTATGACCAACAAATCTAATCCTCCCCTTTTCCAGGGGACAGAGGCACTTTCTCGGAGCTCGTGCGGAATAACGGACTACAAGTCCCAGCATGCTGTGCAAGGCGCTCCAAGCTCCCGGCCACCATGTAGGTACGGGCCGCATCAATGGAGCGTCGGGCGTAAGGCAGAGCCTGCCACGGTCCGCAAGGCCGGTACCTGCTCGGGGATCGCGAGTGCCGGGTGGGGGCCGTGCGCGTGCGCGCGCCGAGGGGGC